GTACGGAGGTCCCCGAGCAGACCTCCGTACGTACGGGCGTTCGAGGTCCCGTACAGGTTCCGAAACCGACGGCGTTTGGCCCCCGCCAAAACTTATTTTCGGGCCTAAAAATAATTACTTTTATCTGACCGTTTTTGCGTGAGTTGTCTACGACGTGAGGTACACGCCTGTAAATTATCAAGTCATTTGGCTCAGCCAAATAAGAATTAAAAATCGCCAAAGACGGCAGTGTCAAAACGTGCTCGCCCACGTATTTTTTCACTTTTTACTTTTTGTTTTCACTTTGGTTCGGGGTCTAAACAATTTTATTATTTTTTAACATTTTTTTAGTGAGTTTTGTATTATGTGAAGTACACATCTGTAAATTTTCGGGGCATTTAGCTATTCCAAAAAAAAAAAGAAAAATCGCTAAAATGGCGGTGTCAAAAATATGCTCGCGCACTCACTAAATTTATTATCTTTTTATTTTTATTTTTTTTTGTTATTAGTATTTGTTTTTCGTATTTTATTTTTATTTCAAATCTGGTAAGGAATTCGGATGTTGAGAAAGGATACAACCAGAGTGGTTGAACCGACCAACGGTATAAACATCATGAACGATTGAGAGTAGAGGTAAGGAAGAACGATTCTTAAGCATCCGTGTCACACACACCAAATAGGAGAAGAACACACGTACGCAGAAGTATCGTCAAGGTACACCGAAAAATTTGTTAACATAACACACAATAAAGTAGCCGAACGTAGTGTCGTCTACTCCCTACTGGCAGCTCCCTACATGTTTCAGCCGATGTCAGTCAGTCAGCCATCTTCAGGGGAGTTAACCTTGACAGAGATGCGTACGAGTGTCATCGAATCAACTATATGTACTATCCTGTATCCTCGAACATCGTGGTTCCAACGACGTCCCCTGTCCCACCATGACAGGTACCGTCCGTAAGTCGTCCGAAAAGACATCCTAACTGTATCTTCCTTGTTTACAACCGAAGGTTCAGAAAAGGAATAACAGGAGGCAGTAGTACCTAGTGTATGAGAGAGAAAACATGGTTTCCATAAGTATCCTGTCGGTCGAAAGAGACGAGAAAAAGGAGTAAGAAACAGACTAGTGGGAGGCATCCACTTGGGACGGAGGGAATATCGAATCGGTTTCAAGAGAAGATAGCGAATCGGATTCAAAAAGAGCCTTGGACCGGAAGCAAAGTGTCATAGCAAGACAGTCATGGTTTCGAGTCCCTTTGAAGAATGAGGAGGGAAGAGAAAAGGGAGGGAGTTATGGGTTCGGGTTCGCTAAAAGAATTTCGGAGAGGTGGAAAAGAGCGGGGTTCACGGGTCGTGATGAAAAAAGGGGGTAAGAAAACTTTTGAAAGTAGTAGAGAAGAAGTCAAGAAATCGAGTATTTTAGCCCCTGATAGAAAAAAGAGAAAACTAAAAAAGAAAGAAAAAAACAAGAAAAGAAGAGAAAAGAAAAAGAAAGCGAATAGACCGTGGATCACCGACGGAGGCCTTCCTAAAAAAAGGGGCCCCACTTTGCCCAAATGTCGGTCTTTGTACGTCAGAAGTTCTTGATTGCATTCACGAACTAGATACCCGGATATTCCCGTATACGCAGCTCAGTCTGGAAAGCCACCGAGCTCAGACCAGCATGTGCTCCACACGTCGAATGCGAGAAGATCCGATGGTTGGGAGGTGAGTATGACCCATAGTCCTGGATGGATTGGATGGTAAGTTGCTGGCCATCTTCGAGCATGCTTTGGTTCCATATGGTAGCATAGCAAAGTGTCTGTGGTTTCAATCCCTTATCCCTGTTTACCTTGATTGTACACCCAATGAAATTCCAGACGTCTTCATTATCGTTTGTTTCGACTAACTTTAAGTTGTCGTCGTAGCAACCTTGGAACCTCCTCAACATTTTTCGAGTTTTCATATCATTGCCCCTTTTCTTCTTCGAATATGTGATGAAAATACTGACATCGTCCACAATGCGCATACCGCGTATACTGATAGATCTAGAACAACCCACGCTTCAAAGAAAATCCCACTCGTTGACAGCACACGACAAAGAGGCAAGAACGGGGTTTGAGCTCTTGCCCATAGGAATCCCCTCAACCTGTCTATAAACATTATGAGCAGTCTCATTATATGTGTGATCCAAGCAAAAGGGAAGATACTCAGCAATATCTGATAACTTCACTGTAACCCACCCACGTTCCCTCTTAAGCTTACCGAACGTAAAGCCTTTACCCCTTCTGTTGACCCTGACTGCTGACTGTCCTTTCTCTGTGTAGAAATCTAGCACTTTTTCAACTGCATGGGAAATCGACCAATGTGGAAGTTTCGAAAACGTATCCTTGATGTCGAATGATGCCCCTTCCACCTCTGAATCTGTCAGTCTGTTAACTGCTATGTTCACCTCCATAATACGTCCTTTAATGTGGGACATCATTCTCATATTAAAGTTAGAGTGGTGGGGGAGTTTCCACAGAAGTGCATTCACCAACTTCCCAATCACCTTGTCCAACATCCTGGTTGGTTCATAGAAGGCCGGACAGATCGGTCGCCATCTCAGAACATCTTTGAGTTTAGGAATGCAATAGCATTTCCCAATACCCGTAGCCTTCTTCCACAAAGCTAGATTAGCAAACCCTTTGGCAGTGTAATCCTCCTTATATTCCTTCATAATCATTTCCTCATCCTTATCCATCACCACATATCCAGCGGATTTATCATAGAGAGAATGCATAGCTTGAGAGTAAACAGTTGGACAGTAGAAGAAAAAATCACCTGGGTTATGATCAATGGGAGTACAAACCAAATCTCCCACAAGCGGTAGCAGAGCCGAGACTTCAGAAAGAGGTAGACTTCCTAAGTTGTTCGCTTCAACAGTAGTACTACAACATGCAAGCTCTAGATGCCTGGGGTTTAGATGAAACCCGACTTCAGCAAAAACATCACGAATAGCATAACGTAGGGCCGACAAAGAAGCATCCATAGAGGGTACTAGGATATTACGCGAGTTGTATAGACATGGATTCAAGTTAGGGATCTGAGATAGTCTACAAGTGAAGTGTTCGTCCGTCTCATTTGCAAGAAGACCCGGAGATGTCGAAGCAGACGAGGAAGATGCAGAAGTAGAAGCCTGGAAGAAGGACTGGAAAGTTTTCCTCATATTTGAACACTGACATCCCATAGATTCGRAGTAAGCAGCCTTTCTATGATTAGTTAGGATATCCTGAACTGACTTCTGTCGTTGAAAAACAACACGTACCCGATTAGAGAAAAAACCGGCAATTTTCCGATCCGGAATCAGTCCATACAAAAGTTGTTGACAGAATTCCCTAATTCTGGTCCTTGACAAGGAAAAATCGTACTTACATTTGACAATGATTCGGGACCAAAACTCCTGACCCACTTTTTTAGTCARTACCCGAGTCAAAATTCCTTTCAATATGGCTTGCTGCCGTGGATCCTCAAATGTCCCAATAGCATTGTAAAGATCCAGCAAATCCCCATTGTCTTTCTGGTATAATAGTTTCCGACTACTAGGGCAACTTAGCAGCGCTACCAATGTCCCTCGATTCTGATCTCCTTGACCTCGGCGGGGTCAGAGATGACAAATGTTGACAGACTCCCCTCGCTGCAACAGACGCCGAGACCCTCCAAGCAGTCCTTTACCCGAGCCTGTTGAAACAGTAGCTGTTCCTAATATCCTTCTTACCCGAGTCCACCCATCTAACCACTGATTCCCAATCGTGGTGGTCAGAATACCTTTCGTATAACCAGCGGCATAGGCACTATCCAKAATTCTGACGATTGAAAAACCTTCAACGACGGTAGAGGGTGAAGAGAATTGATCTGTAAAATGAAAATGCACGTACCCTGAGACCCCCTGGTTTCTCCTGATTGCTCTCCGTTCTCGTCTGCCAGGCCTCTTTCGTGTTTTCTTTTTTACCTTGCGTTTGGTATTTAGCGTCAGGCTCCACCTATCTATTAAGTCTTGTTCCACCAATTCCAGTTCATCCACAGAAGCAGACACCAAAGGAAGAGCAACATACGTATCCCACCTTTTCTTTCGAAACCATGATTTCAATTTGTGATTACGTTCATCTTCCCGATCTACCCGTAGACATGTTCCTGCTATCGATCATCTAATTCCCTCTGCGTTTTACCAATATACGTGGCTCAATACCACAGAGAAACTAACACATACGTGCAACAATCTATCGTCGACCAGTCCTCGTGCATTTCCAACCACGATACCCAATAACCCTGAAACTTATTGCGCCAGGAAAAAACACCACATAAAATGAAATACAAAAATAGCAGCCTTAAAACCTTCTCGCATTTAATCTATAGCTTCCTACTATCCTTCCTTAACCGTTTCCTCATAGAAAGACACCTTACCAGAGAGGTGATTACCCAATCATCGTGAGAAATAGCCATAGATAGGACGTAGTCTCATGGATCGTCCTAGTAGGTGACGTAGAGCCACTCCCGGCTCCAAACGCAACGACCGCCCTTTGTTCTGCAAGATCAGCTGCAATAACGGCCTTGTTGACATAGGTAATGTCGTCCTTCTTGCAGAGTTCCTGAAGTTAAGGCTTAGATAGCCGGACCAATATCTTCTTCATATCCTCGATGTACCGTTCTCTTGCATCCGGGCCGCTGCCGGCGACCACGGCCTTCCTTCCTGGAATCACATGGTCAAACCCCAAGCCTTCCGCCCCTCCTCGATTGGGTGGTTCTGACCGATGGCTTTCTCCTTATGCTCCAGCAACCAATGCAAAGCGTTGCGACAGTGGTACGGTCCTTGTTTGCAGCACCGGGGTCCGAGCACGTAACCCACTAGTCGCTATGTACGACGTGATGGAAGGTCCAACAGTGGTTGGAGGAATACGGGTGGGTTCCACGGGGGTAGCAACAGGTGGAGAAGAAGGCCGTCGAGGCGGCCGAGGTGTGCAAGATGGGTAAGGGGGCGGAGGAGGTGGAGGAGGAGGAGAAGGA